CATTAAGGAGACAAGCAGCAACAGCAGCAGCAGCAGCAAGGCAGCAGCAGCAGCAAAAGCAACGTTTTGCTGTCCTACGCGGTATTCACACCCCCTGTGGAGGGTTCGTTGTTGCTGTCTAGGGTTTAGGGTTTAAGGTTTGCTGGTGTCTAGGGTTTGGTTTCTTGCTTCTCCTGCTAGCTAGGGTTTACGGTCTTGGGCTTGTGGTTAGCGAGGGTTTAGGGTTTTGGGCTCGTTGCTAGCTAGGGTTTAGGGTTTGTCTCCGTCAGAGATCTAACTGCAGCAAGGGCCTCCTTTCCTCTTACTGCAGCAGCAGCAGCTGCAGCGACAGCAACACAAGCAGCAGCAGCAGCAGCAGCAAAGCAGCGTAACTGCAGCAGCAGAAGCAGCACGTCTCTCTATAAATAGGGTTTGTTTTTGTTGAATTAAGTTTAATTTATTTTTTGTAAACATTTATAAAAAAAAAGGATTTGTAAAACCCTCAGGAATTAGGGTTTAGGGTTTAGGGTTTAGGGTTTAGGGAACTTGTATGGGTGGGTTCTTTTATGCTTTAACCCCCATGTATATGTTGTTCTAGGGTTTTTTTTCTTGGTGTATATGCAAATACTAGAGTTTATTGTCTAGGGTTTAGGGTTTAGCTAAATTAGGGTTTAGGGTTTAACTGGGTGCATACTCGGCGTCTGCGGGGCTGCATGGGGGGAGCGTGGCGAGCAAGTAGGTATTAATCGGGGGGTTTAGGGTTTAGGGTTTGATTGCCTTGGATATTGCTCTCGAAATTTAGGGTTTAGGGTTTAGGGTTTAGTGTTATTTTTACGGGGGTTATGGCTCATTGCGCTTCTGCTGCTGCGCGGTCCCTCTGCATTCCCAGCATCGCAGGGTTTGGGGTTTGGGGTTTAGGGTTTAGGGTTTAGGGTTTGCGGTTCTTTTGTATGGCTGTTTTGGTATTTGTGAGGAGGTTACAAACAGCAGCAGCAGCACCGACAGCAGCAGCAGCAGCAACTGCAGCAACAGCAGCAGCAACAGCAGCAACAGCAGCAACAACAGCAGCAGCAGCACCTCTTAACTCTTCCCCTGTTGGTTCTTCTTTCTCTCTCCTCTCCACCAAAATGAAACCCTCGGGCTCGTCTTCGACTGCAACGGTGAGTCTAAACCCTAAACCCTACTCCTAAACCCTAAACCCTAAACCCTCCTCATCCTCCTGTTGCAGTGTGCTCAAAACATCCAAGACTCGTTTGTAGCAGCGTCTAGACCCTGGACTGTCTGCTAATATTAGGGTTTAGGGTTTAGGGTTTACTGTCCTTCTCTGAGTTGTCCATCATACAAGAACATACTCTCTCTGCTTTTAGGGTTTAGGGTTTAGGGTTTAGGGTTTACATCGTGTGTGTGTGTGTGTGTGTTGGTGGTTTATATACCTTCTTCTTAATCTCTCTCTCTCTCTGTGTAAATGATACTACCATACATATCATATACAATCTAGTGTTTAGGGTTTAGGGTTTAGGGTTTAGGGTTTCCATCCCTATAAACCCTAATTATTGAATATTTTCTACCAATTCTTTCCATTTCTACTTTTTTCCAATTTTTTCATTTTTTTCAATTTTTTCATTTTTTAGGGTTTAGGGTTTAGGGTTTAGGGTTTAGGGTTTAGGGTTTATATATATAATTTTTTGTGTATTTTTTTTTTTTTTGTTTTTTTTTGAATATATTTAATTTATTCAGCCAAATAGAGCTCGTTATTATGCGGATGTAAATGCGAATCGTCCTCCACAGTATTGGGACTACGAGAACTTTTCTATTTCTTGGAGTTCTCCTGATGGTTATGAGATAATAAGGAAATTAGGTAGAGGAAAATATAGTGAGGTATTTGAGGGTATATGTGTAGCTACTCCCCAGCAACAGCAGCAGCAGCAGCAGCAGCAGCAGCAGCAACAGCAGCAGCAACAACAGCAGCAACAGCAAGATGCATCAGCAGCAACAACAACTGCAGCAGGAACTGCAGCAGCAGGTGGATCTGCATCAGGAACACAGTCAAGTAATGCTCCTGCAGGAGGATCATCAACTGCTGCTGGTACAGAACAGCAGCAGCAGCAGCAGCAACAGCAGCAGCAGCAGCAGCAGCAGAGAAGGAGTCTAGCAGTAGCAGGACAACGATGTGTAGTAAAAGTATTAAAACCTGTAAAAAAAAAGAAAATAAGAAGAGAAATAAAAATACTGCAGAATTTATTTGGTGGTCCTAATATTATTAAATTATTAGATGTTGTTAAGGATCCTCTTAGTCGTACACCTGCACTTGTATGTATTATATACCATAAACCCTAAACCCTAAACCCTAATTTATTTTATAACATATTAACTCGAAACCCTAGAGGAGGGGATTGCGGTCGTGTGGGGGGGGGGGGGGGGG